GCCTCGCTGTGCCAGCTGCTGCAGCTGCCGCCGCCTCTTCATTGTGTCTGTTGGGGCCCCGCGCGGCGTTCCCGGGGGGAGTTTAGAGAACTCTCGGTGTGGGGGCCGGCGAGCGCCGGTGCGCAGAGCCCCAGAAATCGTCGTGCGGGGTTCTGTAGGTGGAAGGTTGGCCTGGTGGCTGAGGGAGACGGCGGACCTCCGTTGTGAGGGACTAGGTTAGGAAGTTGGATGTTCTCAAGTGGAACAATGCTTAACGTTTTGTTGGCCTCGTCCTCGTTTAAGCTTCGCGTTATGCACTGCGGGAGAGCAGGCTGTAAGGTGTTGTGAGGAAGCGACCTCCATGGGACTTTGGAATCTTTGCGGTCTATTGATAATGAGTATCTGAAAACGTGGATTAAATTACTTGCACTTGGCATTAAACGTCCCGTACTTACTTCCCCCTTAAAAACATAACCCCAGAATTGGAGTGATCATTTCGGCCGATGCTAACTTTTGAATAAAAAACACTTTTATTTTTAGTAAAATGTTTATTGGAGGCTTGAGCTGGGACACAAGCAAGAAAGATCTGACTGAATATTTGTCTCGATTTGGGGAAGTTGTAGACTGCACCATTAAAACAGATCCAGTCACTGGACGATCAAGAGGATTTGGATTTGTGCTTTTCAAAGATGCTGCTAGTGTTGATAAGGTAGGAATGTGTTTTTGCATGATGATACTTTTGTGTGCCTTTTGCAAATGGTTCGGGGATTGGTTGTATATTGCTGTCAGATTAAATAAATATGTCTTCTAGGTTTTGGAACTGAAGGAACACAAACTGGATGGCAAATTGATAGATCCCAAAAGGGCCAAAGCTTTAAAAGGGAAGGAGCCCCCCAAAAAGGTTTTTGTGGGTGGATTGAGCCCAGATACTTCTGAAGAACAAATTAAAGAATATTTTGGAGCCTTTGGAGAGGTGCGGTGTGTGGTTGTTTATGTGTGTTTATATAATATTCATTTCTGACCTTACAGAATAAATTCATTTGTCAGGTGAGGGTGGGATTAAATTACTGCTTGGGGTCCTTCCAGTTACCATACTTTAATCACTGTTTTCTGTGCTGTAGTGCAAACCAATTTCTAATTTATTTTGAAGAAAACATGTATGCTTTGGTGTGGTCACTGTTTGGACTTGTTAACTAGTGGCACCTGTAGGGTATGAGAGGCTCTTAAATAAAGGAAGCTTTGCTCTCCCTTCTAAATGTTTACTTAACAGATAAATCACATAGTTTGATGTTGATATTAAGTAGTAGTAGTCTTTAGACATAAGTCATCTGATTAGAATACCATGTTATGTTGAAGTTTGCAAAGGACCTATGGTATTCTAAGACCTTTTGGTAGCTTTTTGCCATCACTGAATGATCTTGAGTGTGCTTCTTGATTTCAGATTGAAAATATTGAACTTCCCATGGATACAAAAACAAATGAAAGAAGAGGTTTTTGTTTTATCACATATACAGATGAGGAGCCAGTAAAGAAATTGTTAGAAAGCAGATATCATCAAATTGGTTCTGGGAAGGTAAAGCCATTTTAATTATATTAAGTGAGGATTTTTAGTTTCTTTTTGTTAGTGAAGTGATTTCTCAATCTTGTTTGCTTTTTAAAATTTGTCTATAGTGTGAAATCAAAGTTGCCCAACCCAAAGAGGTATATAGGCAACAACAGCAACAACAAAAGGGAGGAAGAGGTGCTGCAGCTGGTGGAAGAGGTGGTACTAGGGGTCGAGGCCGAGGTGAGAATTCTTGGGAAATGAGTTGATAATGTTTTAAGCTATAAACTGCTAAATATGAAAAACTAAGGCATGAAAAAGTAAAGCCAGATATAAATTGTTTCAGGAAATTGCTCAGTTGAGTGGGTGGGTTTTTGGTTGTATTGTTTACTGGTTTCACCTTTTCAAAGAATGGCCACTGTGAGACAGTCATCACTGATGGAAAAATGATACTATTAAATGTAGTGAAAATTATACTGTTACACCATGGTGTGATATGTCTGCTTGGGCAGGAGTTCTTGCTTTAAATTTTTTTAAATTGAACATGATAGAAACATTGACCTGTTTGTTCCACACATTCATGTATTTATTCATTCCATTGTTTGGTTCTTGTATGTGCCCTGGCGGGTTCAAACCCGCGACCTGCAACCTTGGCGTGTTGGGATGATTGCTCTAACCAACTGAGCTACCTGGCCAGGGCCTAGGAGTTCTTGCTTTAAAGTAGATGGTCTACCTCTCTTCACCTTTGTCCTGATTTTCCATTCAGTTTAGGAAGCATGATATTAACACAAATGGACTTGCCCCTTTCCCCCTTTTTGTAATTTTCAGTCAGCAATATAGATATCCATTCTGCTTAAGATTTGCAGAGTAAGAGAGAGAATGCATTATTTTATGTTAGGGTTGGGGGGTGTGGGGGGTGGTCCAGAAGTTGTTTCCTAACAATCATTGTGCATTGTTTCAGGTCAGGGCCAAAACTGGAACCAAGGATTTAATAACTATTATGATCAAGGTTATGGAAATTACAACAGTGCCTATGGTGGTGATCAAAACTATAGTGGCTATGGCGGCTATGATTATACTGGGTATAACTATGGGAACTATGGATATGGACAGGGATATGCAGACTACAGTGGTAAGAATATTTAACTTAATTTTATAACCAGTGGTATTAAAATTCAGTGTTAAGTTATTATCCCATTCTAAAATTGTGAGTTTCCCCTTTATTGAAATGTTTGGAGTTATGTTTTCAAGGCAATTGATAGTCATAGGGTGATTTTACTAACATAAAATTCTGGTTATAAATGTTGAAGAATATGTGATATATGACTAGTTTATAATGGCTGTTACAATCTTATTTCATACTTGCCATGTAGTTTTATACATTTAATCTTTAAGTATACTTATATAATGAAATCATTACGTAAAAACTATCCTGATACAATTTTTTGTCTTACAAAATAGGCCAACAGAGCACTTATGGCAAGGCGTCTCGAGGGGGAGGCAATCACCAAAATAATTATCAGCCATACTAAAGGAGGACATTGGAGAAAACAGGTGTGTATAAGAGTATGAGACACCAGTGGAAATGTCTAATTTAATTTAAAGATCAATAGACAAAATAAAAACAAGTAAAACATTGTATAGCCTTTTTTTTTACTAAGTTGTTAAATTTTAATTGCTTTATGAGCCTGTTTTGCCTAAAGTGTCTATAGATCTTTAACTTTAAAGTTTCACTTCACTTTCTTTAGTATTACAGAAAAACTTAAAAGTTTTTCTGTTTGCTTTGTGTACCAGGTGATCTAGAGGAATAATTAAACATTTTTAGAACTATTAACAGGTAAAGTACTGAAATGGGTACAAACTTAAGGAAAACACGAATGTTCTCTTCTAACTCTGACATTATACCTTGTTTGTACCCGCCAGCGGGAACTTCATTGCAGGCCGTGTGTCACCCTGACCACGTCTATCTCTGGGGGTCGCACGTTGCGGGCAGAGCGCAAGGCATACACCAGAAAACGCTGTCCTGTGGTATGGTCTCTTCCAACTTCATGTACCAGCGTAAAGATTAAAGTGGAAAACTTCAGACTTTGGCTTCTTTTTTAATCTTTTTGGAGATTAAGTGTCTAAACTTAACTTAAATGGTTTTTTACAGGAGTTAAAGTACATAAATGCCTTTTTACAGCTTACTCATTTTGGTCTTCTGTTTAGTGTTGTATTTCAATTGTGGAGCCTCATTTTAAGTGTTCATTCTTTAAGATTTAATGCTTGCTTTTTCTTTTTATAGCTAATAGTGAAATCTACAAACCAAAACAAGAACTTTAAAATCTGGGATATAAATTAAAGATCATATGCACACAACAATTTTTCTTGAAATACAATAATCTTATTTAAAAATTTGTCATTAAAGTCATTTTACTTGGTTTACTAGAGATACTTCTAGTAGACTAATCTAGCACAGTTCAACCTGTGGATATGGGAAAGTTCTATTCCCAGATTCTTTTCTAAATAGATTTAAATTTGGTGTCATTTGGGAAACCGGGTAAATTTATTAACTACCCAAACCACATTTGCCAGTGAATATGCATGTGATCTTTAATTATTGAAGAAAAGAATAAAGTGAGGACTTAAAACAATTCATGAAAGTGGACCTTTGAAAGCTTGTCAGCGTTGCACAAATCTAATTGCTATTTTGTTTTTGTTTTTAGGAGGAGATTGCTAAAGTAACCCATCTGGCAGGACGCCATTGAAGATTGATTGATCTTCTCTTGCTCTAAGATGATTATTTTGTAAAAGACTTTCTAGTGTATAAGACACAACTGTGTCCAACTGTATATAGCCGCCAATTAGTTTTCTTTGTTTTTACTTTGCCTTTTGCTATGTGTTATGATTCAATGTGGATTTGTGTTTATACAAATTTTATTTGTATGATTTCATGTTAAACCTCAAATAAATGCTTCCTTATGTGATTGTTTTTCTGCGTCAGGTACTAAATAGCTCTGTAAAAAAGGGTGATTTTAAATAAGCAATAATTAAGGCACAGTTTATTTTGTAAGGAGTATTGGTCTGTAAGGAGAAACTGGCCCTTATGAACAGCCAGCTACAGTCACCCTGTTCCCATTTTTGTTAGCTGTATTCTATGCTCCCACTCTTCATTTCCCTGTTAACTGAGGCTTTCACCACATTTCAAAATGTTTCCTCTGTGTGTATCTGGAGACCTTTGTCATGGAAGTATCCATGTCATAGTCATAGTGTTGTGATTAGTGGAAGCTTTCTAGTAGACCATGAATCTTCCAATGATTATACTCTGAAGAAAAGTACCCCTTTAATGGCACAAAGCATGTCGGTTGCTCCTTTTATGAATGGGAAAGATTTTGCTTTGTTCCTGTCTCTGGAAAGCCATTTGTCGTGATTTGTTAAATGTTTTAACTTAAGTGGTTTGTTAGAAAGACCTTTGAGTAATCATAATACCATGACTTTAATTGTTCTTGATAAAAAGTCCAGATGTACCCAGGAATAAAGCACTGTTGAACTAGTGGGAGCTATAGTTTGAGGCTATCAAAAATAGTTACATTATCGCAAAGATTTTGGCAGATAAGTTTGAGGTTATTAGAACTAGAGCAAAAGTTAAGGTATTTAAAGGTAGTGACTGAATTAGTTTTAGTTGGTATGTCACAGTAAGTGGCAAACAGCTGTTTTGGGGCATTCTTAGGAAGCTATATTGGGTGTTAACTGTTAATGTGTGAACTCTTAGTAAAAGCCATGTTAGTAGCTCATTTTTAATGCAATTAGTGCATGGGCCAAGTAGCTACGCATATCCATATTCAGACAGGAAGAAATAGGGAAACTGCTTGAGTGTTATTTTAATGCAAATCTTAAGTGTGACCAAGTCATGTCATTTGAACAATCTTGGTGCATTATTAAAAAGCTTTAGCTCTAGATTTTGGGAGGATTTCCTGGGTAAATCCAAGCTTTGAATTTTATATTAAGTATAGTTATTGGACTTAAGGTTTTTTAAATTTTGTTTTGTTTTTATGATTCCATGTTAGCCATTGGGGATTGGGATACGTTCGTATGCGTATGTGGAATAGTTGACCTCACCTTAAACTATAAACTTACATTGATGAACCTGCCGTTTTTTATTTGGTGCCTGCAACTTTGTTCGTATGATGTTTGTATTTGCTGGGCTATCAAGTTGCGGAACTCTTGGCCTTGTTTTGCTCCTGTTTTCCTATTTTGACCTTACACCTAGGCCAAGTACCAGTGTTGGCTATTGCAAGGGATTCTGTTTAAACGTACACCCTTAGGGAACAGAAGAGATATTTTCATTTTAAGTTATGTTGTCAGTCAATAGGTGTGGTGTCTTTAGGGCAGTGAATCCTGTAAGTTCAAGTTTATGATTAGGTGACAAGTTGACATTGAGATTGTCCTTTCCCTGATCAAAAATGAATAAAGGTTTTTTTAAACAAAATCCAAACTCTCCAATCAAGTCTTAATATGTATGACTTAAGAAATACACTACATCTAGAAATGACTAAAATCTTACAAAGAATTGGAGGGGGAATGAGTATATGTCCTTGTGTTTTGCACTTGTCCAAGGTGCTTTGGACTCTGCTTAATTCTGATTTTAGGTTCTTTAAGTGCCAGCACATAAATTGGAAATAAATATGCTACGGTTAAGTGCTTCCAGACACGTCTGTTAGGATGAACAGTAAATAAAGTTAGTATTAAGGTTTCATTCTGAAGTACTTAGAACTAAGCAAAGTGATTTGACAAGTTAATTGAAGGGGTTAATTCTGAAGTACCTATGATAAACAACTAGCTTGTATATCTTTTTGAAATATGCTTCCTGATTTTTAACCAAATTCTGTGTAGTGTTACTCATCCTAACAAATCTTACTAGCAATTTTGTTGATTAACATTACTGTTCCATAGTCTCCTATCTATGTTTATAAAGTTAGGAATATTAAGAATTAAGATGTCTATTGGGATGCTAAACATGGGTAAGCAAAACCTGTTTCTTTTTCGGTCCTCACCTAAGGGTATTTTCCCATTGATTTTCTTTTTAGAGAGAGTGGAAGGGAGGGGAGGAACGGAAACATCGATATGAGAGGCAAGTTGATTGGTTGCCTCCTGCATGTGATGGGTATTAAGCCTGCAAACAAGACACAAGCCCTTGACTAGAATCAAACCCAGGACCCTTCCATCTGAGTGCCAACACACTATCCACTGAGCCAAAACTCCATTGATTTTTACAGAGTGGGAGGGAGAGACAGACATCTCAACTGGCTGCCTTCCTGCATGTGCCCCAACCAGGGCTGGGATCAAACCTCCAACCCAGGTATGTGCCCCTGATCAGGAATCGAACTGACCCTTGGGTGTGTGGGCCAACTTTCTAACTACTGTGCAACACCAGCCAGGGTGGTAAGCAGAGCTTTATTTCATTCTCTTCATGTATCTTTTTCATAATAGTGATAGAGGAAACCCTTCACTAATCTTTATTAATTGTAATACAGGGACATCTGAAAAATTCATCTCTACCAAGATTTGATAGGATGTTGACCACAAGATGCTAACTTTCACTAGTTGAAAAGGTAATTCAGAACACTGCAGGTATATAAATTTTTAGTTGTAGGAGATGAGTGTGTGTTCATATCATTTGAACTAACTCTAGCATTAAGCAAAATCAGGGGATGTTAAAGCACTAGAGGCCTGGTCCATGAAATTTGTGCATGGGTAGGATCCCTAGGCCTGGCCAGTGATCAGAGCCGATCTGTGGGGCAACCAGCAGGGTGATCAGGAGGCCCCTTCTGGCACCAGCCTTGGCCGGCCTGGGAGCAGCTCCTGCATTGAGTTCCCCTTGGTGATCTGTGTGTGTCATAGCGACTGGTGGTTCTACTGGTTGTTCCGCTGTTCGGTCAATTTGCACATTAGGCTTTTATTATAGAAGATTCCTCAGATTTTCCAAGCTAATATAACTGCCATTTACTGTGGTCTCAACTTTTGAGCAAAAGCATGCAACTTTATCTTTAATAATATCATTCAAAAGTGTATTAGCCATAAAAATATGGGCTGTTGAGCAAAAGCATGCAACTTTATCTTTAATAATACCATTCAAAAGTGTATTAGCCATAAAAATATGGGCTGTTCTTTTATGATTGATTGGGATTTTATATATTTTTGTCTTGAAATAAGTTGGATGTGGAATTTCAGCAAGTTTTGATTGAATAACAATAAAAATTCATATTTCTCAACCACTTTTTATAAACGAGGAAAGAATACAATGGTGTTCTGGGGATTACAGGATAAAGCTGAACATTCTGAAGACTTAATTTGTATTACTTTGAATAGTTTAATCTCTGGTTTTACTCTATTAGCACTTATTTCAGAGGTATACCACTTGGGAAGGCCTATCATAATCTCAGGGTGGTGGGACTGAGGTAGAGTTTGAAAATAGGTTCAAGACTTTTCATTACTACAGTAGTTACCTTATCTGCAGTTTTGCTTTCCATATTTTGTTACCACAGTGGACCACCATCCAAAAATATTAAATGGAAAATTCCAGAAAGAAACAATTATTAAGTTTTAAATTGTGCACCATTTTAAGTAATATGATAAAATCTCAAGCTGTCCTGCTCTGTCCCACCTGGGATATGAATCATCCCATTGTCCAGGGTGTCCAGGCAGTATACACTTACTGTCTATTATATTTAATGGCTATCTCAGTTATTGGATCAACTGTCATGGTATTTCAGTGCTTGTGTTCAAATAACTTATATTACTTAAGGATGACCCCAAAGCTCAAGAGCTGTGATTCTGAGAATTCCTTTAAGTGAAAAGGTGAAAGTTCTACTTAATAAGGAAAGAAAAAGGTTGTATGCAGAGCTTGTGTGAAACTGAAGGAAAAAAAAATTCCAGCCCTAGCTGGTTTGGCTCAATGGATAGAGCATTGGCCTGTGGACTACCCTTGTATGTAATGATGTTTACTTTGAATTTATATTAGTTCACACAAACACTCCATCCATGCTTTTGTTCCGGCCCTCTGGTCCAGTTTAAGAACCCATTGTGGCCCTCGAGTCAAAAAGTTTGCCTGGGGGTCCTGGGTTTAATTCTAGTCAAGGGCAGCCTGGGTTCAATTCTAGTTGTGGGCTCGATCCCCAGTAGGGGGCGTACAGGAAACAGCCAATCAATGATTCTCATCATTGATGTTTCTATCTCTCCCTCTCCCTTCCTCTCTGAAGTCAATAAAAATATATTTTTAAAAATTTCCAGTTTGCTGAGACATTCACATAACTTTTGTTACAGTACATAGTTATAATTCTGCTATTGTATCATTAGTTATTGTTAATCTCTTACCAGGCCCAATTTATACATTAAACTTCATCATAAATACATATGTGTAGAAAAACATACTGAAATTATTAGGTTAGGTACTATCTACAGTTTCAGACTCAACTGAGGGGGTCTTGAAATGTACACCCCTCAGGGACAGGGGAACTTCTAGAACTTAGAACTATACTTACCACATTGTTGGAGATTAAAAAAAAAAGCTTTTTTGAGTATGCATTGTTTTCATAATTTGGAAAAAGTGATATTTTTAAATACTTGTGATACGGATATAATTTTTAAATTTTTGCATTTGGAATAAAACAAATTATACCTTTCGTCTCATTTAAAACTTTTTTTCATATATTTTTTAGTTATAATCCATGTAAACAGGGCTTAGAGCCTATCAAAACTAATTCTACTCTGGCCTATGCCTTCTCTTATTTTTATTTAGTCATTTTAGTTGCTCTTAGCATGATGTTTTAGACACCAATATATAGACACTAGCAAAAGGGTTATTATTTCCCTGTATTTCCCATCCAAAACAATGAAAAATTCAAAGTACCATTCCATTTCTGGTTTTCTGCTGACTGGGATTTTTTTTTTTTTAATCCCAAGAAAGGGGGGTCATCTTGGTATTGGTGACAGGTACAGAGTTGCAATGATTCACACTTAACCACAGTATTGCCATGGCTGGTCAGTAGATAGAGCATCGGCCTGCAGACTGAAGGGTCAAGGGCATGTGCCTGGGTTGCGGGGTCAGTCCTCAGTGAGGGGCGTGCAGGAGGCAGCCAATAAATGATTCTCTCTAATCATTGATGTTTATCTCTCCCTCTCCCTCTCTGAAATCAATAAATATATTATAAAAAAAAAAAAAGAACCACAGTATTACCAGACTTGTTTTCTTTTTTATCTGAATTGTCCTTTTTAAATTCTGGGTGTAAAATTTGCTCCTTGTTGAAGTGAAATTCTTTTCTTCATTAAGGAAACCAAGGAGGCCCTGGCTAGGTGGCTCGGTTGGAGTGTTGTCCCATTTATCAAAAGGTTCTAGGTTTAATTCCCAGTCAGGTAACATAACTAGATTCTAGGTTCGATCTCGTGTAAGAGTGGCAACTGATGCTTCATGCTCTCTCTCCCTTCTTTTCTCTCTAAAATCAATATAAATGCATCCTTGGGTGAGGTTAAAATAAAAAGGATACCAAGTAGCAAATTTCTTTCTGCCTATCATAGAAACAATCAAGCACTCTTAACCAGAAAATATACAGGCATTAATTACTTTTCTCTTGACAGTTCTAGAAAAGGTATACAAACTCTTAGTATAACTTAAGAACAATAGTCAGTTTATTGAACTCCATTTGTTGCCACAAGAAGGGAAAAAGCATTACATGAAAATGTCAAAGGTTCTCAAATTCATTATTCCATAAATTGCTCCTAAGATCATATTCTGTTCTTTTTTATTTCAAGTTACATATTCACTTCCGTGCATTAGCAAAGTCCTACAGATAGTGTAAGAGTACATACTCGGGTGTACACATACACCTACATAAGATAAAAGGTACACAATTTTTCAAAAGGTATTTTTACTTCTACTTTCAGCAAAAATGGATGACCTGAGTAATCAAACTAATCCTTCTAAAGACAAGCAGGATGAAAAAAAAATTTAAATCTTCTCTAGAAAAACTAAAAAACCCTGAAACAAATACAGAATAATATTGCAAGTAAACTGTTAATTGAAAAATTAAATTTTCCTTAAGTTCTCTTTAAAACAAAACAAAACTCGAGAGTAGAGAAGGAAACAAAGA